TGCACTCTTTCCCACGTCACTGTGAGCTCGAGGCTAAACAGCTCACGTGAGGCGTGTGATTCACGCGAGGAGAATGTTTGAGAGCTTCTATTAGAAGCCACCCAATGAGATTCTCCGGATTGCAATAGAAGACCTGAACTTATGAGAAGGTCCTGGAAATAAGCGAATCTAAGGTTTTCGAGAAGCGTTCACGAACACCTCGTGATCGTTCAGTCTCGACTCCTAGTTCGAGACTCGAACTCCACGAAGCTAGTTCGGCCACGAGGCTCCTGCAACCTGTACGCACTCGAGGTTCAAGTTGAAGGAGCTTCGTGGCCCTTGAGTTGTAAGTCCTGAATTTCGAGTTCGACGACGCAACCGTATGACTATCACAAGGGCAAGCGGGCACGAGTTCACGGCGTCTGCAACTCGTCGCCAGAGTGCTTGATGCTTACGATGAAGGTTCAGCATCCTCTCTTGAGGAGGGGCGAATTCAATGACGACGTTATACAGTGTAGTACGCGGACGCCCGAAGCACGTGGAGAAGAGTCTGCGCCTTAGACCATGGTATCCACCGGAGAAAGACGCCCTGAGCGAAGTGTTCCGGCGTTTGTTTTACGGTCCAGAGCAACGTTTCAAAAATGGCCATCCCGCTTTCAACCCAACACAAAGGGGGAATGAAGACTCTTTAAACTCATGTACTCAAGAAAAAAATAAGTCAATCACGACGAAGCATGATGCTTCTTATCAACTTAATACTCTATCCTTGCGTGTGACTCGCAGTGGGTTCTATCTCAATGGTTCACAAGTCCCAAAGGATTCTGCGAGACGCAGTTGCAGTCGTAACTTGGGACTTTCAAGAGACCATGCTCTTCATCTTCGAAAGGATTTCATCCTGAAGACAGGCACTGTAAGTGCGTTCTGCGACTCGCAGGAAGCAGTCGGCGCCTGGGCAGAGAACAGGATGACCCATCCGAAAAGAATGATCCATTCTTCCCACTTTTTCAAAAGCGACTTTTGGCCCACCCTTGGACGAGACGTATTACATCGGCTTTGAGGGTCCCCCACAAGCAGGCTACGAGGAGCGGGAACCACGCGTCGTTGGCAGCGTACTGAATTTGTTCGGAGCTCAAGCGGAGCTGATTCCAGTTGCCGACCAGCTGATACCTGAACGCACGGCATCAGTACGCTCGTAGGCAGGAATGCTCTGAGCATCATGCTCATCTACATACTTTGATTTGCGGAGGTTGTACCCCACAGAAGCGCAGATCCCGACGAAACCGGGATTATCCAAGCCGCGCTTCTTAGCATACTCGACCATATCAATTAGAGTGTCTGGGAAGATGGTGATGCCCATGTCCGCCAGTTTCCTCTTGTCACCGCTGACGTGTCCCACACAGACCTTGCTGATTCTCTGAGGGGAAATACTTATCAACCGGTGGATCATTTCCAGCTCTGGGTATCGATATCGCGGCTACCTGGCTTCTGAGAACCTCGGTGGCAGCATCACTGTAACGCCCTTGCTTGGGGCGGAAAAGGAAGACGCCATCAACGGCAGTGGCGATCTGAATCTGTCAAGGAAAGTGCAATTACCTCAATGCGTCTCCTCAACACCCACTAAAGCGACACGATCATTCTCTCCAGGACGGAGGTCCATATTCCGCCGGAAATCGATGCCAACGACAGTCTCAGAGCTTAATTACGAGGGAATGATAGGCGATACCATACCAGGTCTGTTGTACGGGCGACCACGTACAGAACATTTCGGCAGGCTTCAAGTTGATCGCTGTCCTCGATCACGTAGAGCATTCCAAGGTATCCGTTGAAGCTAGAGTCTAGCTGCTAGACATAGGACTCCTATGATGGGAGACAAGACATAGGATGGCCTTGCTGAAGAAGAGTGGTACCAAGCATGGGCTTGCTTCAGTTATGATACTCTTCCGGCGGATGACAGCCACTGAGGAATCCTCAGTGAGGGTAGAAGGAAGTGCTCCTCTGCGTCTTCGCAGCGCGAGCCGCGTTGCGCGAGTTGGTCAGTTTCGCGTATCGGAGACAGCTGGATCCCCTAGTGCTCCCAGCCGGGGTCCCCGTCCACCGTTTGACCGCGTCATACAAGGCCTCCACGGCGACTACGTCAGCTGCGACTCCCGCAGAGCTGGGCTAATGTGTGAGATTACTGCATTTTACCAGGTTTTGCCAGTATATCCGACCGATTCTACTCCTTTCCATGCTAAGCGGGACAGCTCCAGGCGAGCGCCCTTGTTGGTATGGCGCCTGACAGTAGGAGTCGTGAGGAGGCACTCCTCATCGGAAGTGGTTCCTTGAGAGCGTTGCATCCTGACTGTCGCTCGTCATCAGCGGCCCATAGTCAACGTAAATGAAGAAAAGTCAGTATAGTGTTTCCCTGAAGTCATAAGTAGGACAAGCTGTGCACGCATACAAGGGAGGCTTGGTACTTTGCGATAGCCGCATTGTTGCGAGCGTATTGAAGGACATGTCTCGGACCTGAGGTCTGTGCTGCGCTGTGGAAGAGTGTCCGACAAAGGATCCTTGTATACGAGATCCTATTGTCCGATATCAACTTGAGATTCTCAAGCACAATGGGTAAGGGTGTACGTACGCAATGCATTGTGCGCCTTGCACCGACTCCAATGAATTCACGTGCATGAATATGCGTTCTAGATTACGCTATAAATTTTCATCGTCGATCAACTCCCCTGGGGAGTCTTTCCGCGAGTCCGGCTTCACCGTCCTTTGAGGCTCAAAGTTTGAGCCCCGTCTCAAATAGTCACGCTGCACTGAGTTGCAGTGCACGTGTACGGTGGCTTGCGTTTACTATAGGCTAGCTTAGCCATTCACATCCTACTACGAAAATCGCAGTGACCCAGAGCCCACTTATCATGAACGCCACCACCTTTGGGATCCTCTCCATTGTATGCCAACTTGGAGTCGCCTTGGACCCGGAGAACGGAGGTTGGTTCGTGTATGTGAACCATTCCGTAGAAGCTTATCATGTCGTGATCTCAGAATGGCGAGCCTCCTTCTCGATACCTCGGCGGGATTCGAGAGCCCGGTAAACCAAGGCGAAGGTAAGGGTCCTTTGACACCTAGTATGACCGCCATACTATGGCGTACTGAGTATGCGTGCTTATGCTGTATAAATTCAGGAGGAAATTATGAGAAGCCTGTGGGACAATGCCGTCTCTCGCCGACTCGTACGGTTGTCGGCTGCCAGTGCACGACTAGCGACATGCTTTCTGCTATAGTGAGTGTCGAAAGCTTGGGAGTCGCCCCCTAGTCGATGCTCTCAGTCTCAAAGTTCAAAGTTCAAAGTCGATTGGTCCGTCTGTGCGAGCGACTGTGAATCTACCAGTGATTGCCCCACGCCACCGAAAGGAACCCCGACATGCCTTGCAGTTCCTCAAGTCTGCGCCATGAACTGCAAGGAGAACTCGGTAAGGAGGGCAGCGCTTGTTATTGTCCCACTCCACGTGAGTCACGTGTACTCAGGACTGCCTGGAAGGGGGATCCTGCATAAAACTCGCGGAGTACCACGCATGCATGTTCAAGGAGTAGTGTGATCGGTGTTGAGGCAACACATGATCAGACCAACTCGATCTGATCAGGAGGCAGGATTCACTTAGTCTGATCTTTTCTTTCCATAACTTCAACATTTTATATCTCTTTCCACGCTAAAAGAAGCACAAGTGGTCCGGTATCATTTGTGAGAGCTGGAGTGCAACAAAGCCACTCGGAAGTCCTATTTCCGCTTCTAGAAACTTTAGATCGAGCCCGGATTTCGAAAGATTATGACCCGACTTTCATACCACTTATTGTTATGGATCCGCTGTAGCGTGGATACTTCAACAACTTCACTCGATTAATTTATGATTCGAGACTCCGTCAGGGGCTGAGAACGGTATCCCTGGTGATGTCTCTCTTACGGTTAATCCTTCAGTGAAGGTCCCTCACATAGTGGGAGGCGTAAAGGAGGCAATTCTATTTTGTCTTTTCTCTTCCATTCTCACCTTACTGGCGACGATTGTGTTGAAGTCGAGAGTCATGGTCACCGGGACGCGATATGATCGGAGGTGCCGCGAGCGGTGATGATCTGCCAGCACTTTCTCTGAGCGGTAGAACACGTTCAACTGCCGAATTCGCGCTGATAACTGGTTCTCACAAATAGGAGCAGCGCTTTAGGGCCTGAAGTTCAGGCGATCACTGTACATGAGTCATGTAACGTGACTCATCGCGTCCTCTCACCAACTGGCCCACACCACAGTAAGTCACAAGAGAGCTCTCTTGTGACTTATTCACACTCTCGGAGTCGGAGGCCAGGGTGGTTGATGAGCGGAAAGGATCGTTACAAAGTTTCCGGGAAAGGAAAGAGTTGTAACAGGAAAGAATGGGACCGGAAAGGACGGAAACTTTCCACTTCACGCGCGGCGAGCGAAATTTCCTTCGGCGTGCGATTTTTTCCTTAGCCGAAAAGCATATTACTCCGTCAAAGCAGCTTGGCGCAGTGGATAGCGTGTTGGGCTCATACCCCAAAGGTCCCTTGATCGAGACAAGGAGCTGCTAGTCATTCTTTCGCCAGAAAAGGTGAACAGAAATATTAGTACAGAGTCTGTACTACAGACCATTCCCTGTCAGCTATGGGATTCGAACCCACGAGGATCTCTCCACCAGAACTTGAGTCTGGCGCCTTAGACCACTCGGCCAAACTGACCCATCTCAGCAAGTGTAAAACGGACGCGACGCCGACCCTGAAGATCTCGAGCTCCTCCAACGAAAGAGAATCATTTGCTCGCGGAGGCAATTGCCAACTTACTCAGAGAGCGTATTGCGAATTGAGGTCCTACAAAATTTTCTCTTCAAAGCGTAGACCGTAGCGATCGGCGTGCCTCTACAAAATCAGGCGTGTCGCTTGGGGTGACACATCCGGCGCTAAGCTAGAGCACATTGCGTGCGAAAGAACACTAGCAGCGCGATTTCGGGGTAGAGATGATTCAGCTCCTGTAGCTGGAATGGTCTAGTTGGTTATGACGACTGCCTATTAGGCAGTGCCTAACACGGAGTAGGTCCCGAGTTCGACTCTCGGTTCCAGTAAATTTCTGGTGACTCTCTGAAGCTGAGTGAGTCGCGAGACTTCTAATCTACCGTCACTTCATTGGGCACCGTTGGTCTAATGGTTAGGATATCTGCCTTCCAAGCAGATGGTCCGGGTTCAATTCCCGGACGGTGCATAGGCGTCAGCTGAACATACACTCGAACTATTAGCAACAACCTCCTTACGGGTGCCAAAAGCATATTATACCGTCAAAGCAGCTTGGCGCAGTGGATAGCGTGTTGGGCTCATAACCCAAAGGTCCCTTGATCGAATCAAGGAGCCGCTAGTCATTCTTTCGCTAGAAAAGGAGAACAGAAATATAAGTACAGACTATTACTTGTCAGCTGTGGAATTCGATCCCACGAGGATCTCTCCACCAGAAGTTGAGTCAGGCGCCTTAGACCACTCGGCCAGACTGACCCGTCTCAGCAAGTGTAAAACGGACGCGACGCCGACCCTGAAGATCTCGAGCTCCACCAACGAAAGAGAATTTGCTCGCGGAGGCAATTGCCAACTTACTCAGAGAGCGTATTGCGAATTGAGGTCCTACAAAATTTTCTCATCAAAGCGTAGACCGTAGCGATCGGCGTGCCTCTATAAAATCAGGCGTGTCGCTTTGGGTGACACATCCGGCGCTAAGCTAGAGCACATTGCGTGCGAAAGAACACTAGCAGCGCGATTTCGGGGTAGAGATGATTCAGCTCCTGTAGCTGGAATGGTCTAGTTGGTTATGACGACTGCCTAACACGCAGTAAGTCCCGAGTTCGACTCTCGGTTCCAGTAAATTCCTGGTGACTCTCTGAAGCTGAGTGAGTCGCGAACCTTCTAATCTACCGTCACTTCATTGGGCACCGTTGGTCTAATGGTTAGGATATCTGCCTTCCAAACAGATGGTCCGGGTTCAATTTCCGGACGGTGCATAGGCGTCAGCTGAACATACACTCGAACTATTAGCGATAACCTCCTTACGGGTGCCAAAAGCATATTATACCGTCAAAGCAGCTTGGCGCAGTGGATAGCGTGTTGGGCTCATAACCCAAAGATCCCTTGATCGAAACAAGGAACTGCTAGTCATTCTTTCGCCAGAAAAGGAGAACAGAAATATAAGTACAGACTATTACTTGTCAGCTGTGGAATTCGAACCCACGAGGATCTCTCCACCAGAAGTTGAGTCTGGCGCCTTAGACCACTCGGCCAAACTGACCCGTCTCAGCAAGTGTAAAACGGACGCGACGCCGACCCTGAAGATCTCGAGCTCCTCCAACGAAAGAGAATCATTTGCTCGCGGAGGCAATTGCCAACTTACTCAGAGAGCGTATTGCGAATTGAGGTCCTACAAAATTTTCTCTTCAAAGCGTAGACCGTAGCGATCGGCGTGCCTCTATAAAATCAGGCGTGTCGCTTGGGGTGACACATCCGGCGCTAAGCTAGAGCACATTGCGTGCGAAAGAACACTAGCAGCGCGATTTCGGGGTAGAGATGATTCAGCTCCTGTAGCTGGAATGGTCTAGTTGGTTATGACGACTGCCTAACACGCAGTAGGTCCCGAGTTCGACTCTCGGTTCCAGTAAATTCCTGGTGACTCTCTGAAGCTGAGTGAGTCGCGAGACTTCTAATCGACCGTCACTTCATTGGGCACCGTTGGTCTAATGGTTAGGATATCTGCCTTCCAAGCAGATGGTCCGGGTTCAATTCCCGGACGGTGCATAAGCGTCAGCTGAACATACACTCGAACTATTAGCAACAACCTCCTTACGGGTGCCAAAAGCATATTATACCGTCAAAGCAGCTTGGCGCAGTGGATAGCGTGTTGGTCTCATAACCCAAAGATCCCTTGATCGAAACAAGGAGCTGCTAGTCATTCATTCGCCAGAAAAGGAGAACAGAAATATAAGTACAGACTATATCTTGCCAGCTGTGGGATTCGAACCCACGAGGATCTCTCCACCAGAACTTGAGTCTGACGCCTTAGACCACTCGGCCAAACTGACCCGTCTCAGCAAGTGTAAAACGGACGCGACGCCGACCCTGAAGATCTTGAGCTCCTCCAACGAAAGAGAATCATTCGCTCGCGGAGGCAATTGCCAACTTACTCAGAGAGCGTATTGCAAATTGAGGTCCTACAAAATTTTCTCTTCAAAGCGTAGACCGTAGCGATCGGCGTGCCTCTATAAAATCAGGCGTGTCGCTTGGGGTGACACATCCGGCGCTAAGCTAGAGCACATTGCGTGCGAAAGAACACTAGCAGCGCGATTTCGGGGTAGAGATGATTCAGCTCCTGTAGCTGGAATGGTCTAGTTGGTTATGACGACTGCCTAACACGCAGTAGGTCCCGAGTTCGACTCTCGTTTCCAGTAAATTCCTGGTGACTCTCTGAAGCTGAGTGAGTCGCGAGACTTCTAATCTACCGTCACTTCATTGGGCACCGTTGGTCCGACCATTCCAGCTACAGGAGCTGAATCATCTCTACCCCGAAATCGCGCTGCTAGTGTTCTTTCGCACGCAATGTGCTCTAGCTTAGCGCCGGATGTGTCACCCCAAGCGACACGCCTGATTTTATAGAGGCACGCCGATCGCTACGGTCTACGTTTTGAAGAGAAAATTTTGTAGGACCTCAATTCGCAATACGCTCTCTGAGTAAGTTGGCAATTGCCTCCGCGAGCAAATGATTCTCTTTCGTTGGAGGAGCTCGAGATCTTCAGGGTCGGCGTCGCGTCCGTTTTACACTTGCTGAGACGGGTCAGTTTGGCCGAGTGGTCTAAGGCGCCAGACTCAACTTCTGGTGGAGAGATCCTCGTGGGTTCAAATTCCACAGCTGACAAGTAATAGTCTGTACTTATATTTCTGTTCTCCTTTTCTGGCGAAAGAATGACTAGCAGCTCCTTGTTTCGATCAAGGGACCTTTGGGTTATGAGCCCAACACGCTATCCACTGCGCCAAGCTGCTTTGACGGTATAATATGCTTTTGGCACCCGTAAGGAGGTTGTTGCTAATAGTTCGAGTGTATGTTCAGCTGACGCCTATGCACCGTCCGGGAATTGAACCCGGACTATCTGCTTGGAAGGTAGATATCCTAACCATTAGACCAATGCTGCTTCGGACCTCTGTCACCCAAAATTTTTACCCGGGTTCGACAATGACCCAGGTTCGACGAAAAGAAGGGCGAATTTTTTCTTGTTTTTGAAGGCTGTGGTCTGCTTTTTTCGGCGCTTTTGGGCCTTTCTACTCTGCCCTGCTCTGTTCCTCTGCGTTCCTTTGCCTTGCGTTGGTTATATTTTCCTGTTTTGCTGAACTGCGCGCTTCGAACCAGGGTCAAGGTTGCCTCTGGTCGTGGTTCTACCCCGTCTCCCGCAGCTTCCTGCCTCTTCTATGCCGAAAGGTAAGCTCACTCGAGCTCAAGCTAAGAAGGAGTATGCGACCCTTATCTCCGCGTGGGAGAGGGGTGAAAACCCGCCGCTCGGTCGCAGCGGTAGGCTCCCGGAAGAAGTCTCTAAAATCAAAGAGGAGATTCTCGCCAAGAGAAAAGCGACAGCTAAGCAGTGGTTCAAGCCGAAACCCAAAGCATCGAGTAGCGCAACATGATCATCGCGACTATGATATCAGATTTGAGAATTCAGGTGTAGCCTCCACTATCGTCAACACCACCGATCAGGAAAAAGCTCGTTCGAGCTCCAGCAAGAGTCCCCCATGCGACTCCCAAAAGAGTGGGCAGAGTGATGCTCTTAATCAGTGTAAGAAGCTCTCATCCTGAGTTCCGGAGATAAGAAAAAGAAAAGTTACATCTGTTTCATTACTGCCAGGCAGGTACTGAAGAAACTGGTACTAGTACTACAGACCGCTCGCCGCCCCGTCACCGAACGGATCAACAGACGGCTAAGCCATGGCTAAATCCTCCGAAAACTCTATCGGAAGCCTTGAGCTTAACTGGAGCATCATCTACGGCCAACGATACCCAAGCACTATGGATTTACACTCCTTCCTCCGTAGAGGAGGCAGCCCGAGGTCCACCATCCGCGCTGATAAGCAGCCTCAATGCACGAGAGCTCTATCTGTGGCTGCCATCAGGAGGACGGTGTGTGCGCTGCGCAAATTGCAACATCGTACCGAAGGAGCTTGCGACTCCCAAATATGCCTTCACCGAGTATGGATGGCCCGCACAAATAGTTACTTCGAAGATCAGGTGCCGTTCGTGCGAAACGGTGTTCCTCGGAACTGATCCCATCTACTTGAAAAGCCTCCCGACGGCTGTATCCTCTGCGATAAACACTCGCTTCATCATAGGACGGCAGACTGCCGTGGCTACAAGCCTGGTTCAAAGAATACGTGTTGGGAGCTTAGTGCGACGTGAAGTCGAAAGCTACGCTGCCTTGACTGAGCAGCAACTTCAGAGACGACGATTGGTGTTTGCGACAGAAAAGCGAAGGCATAAAAGTGGATTGCTGAAATTCACGAACCCTGGAAGTGCTTCGGACTTCGACACATCTCCCGTGGATGCCATTCCGTCTCCCAGTAGAAAGCTCACAGACGCAGTACTCCAATGGGCTTTCATTCGGGACTACACGGCGCACAAAGACAGTTTATTGCGAGAGATAAGCAGCTATCGGGTCAGCCATGTGATATCGCTGGATCATAGCCGCAAGATCGCGAAAAGGATAGAAGGCAATAAGAATGGCCAGCTTTGCAGCATACTAGCCGATCACGGGCAGATACTGAATGTTGTAGCGACGAACTCGACTAGCACCGGGGAGCTCGAGGGTGCATTACGGCAGCTGAAAGGACGAGTAGAGGATGGTGTCATCGTTTTTGTGGATCGCGATTGTTGTGGCTCAGCTGGATCGAACCTCAGAACTATGATACAATCGGCCGTAGGGGCCAAAATATCCCTCAAATTAGATGGCCTACATGGCCTTTTTAGGCTAATCAGAGCTTCAAACAATAATCATCCCCGCTATCCTCTGTTCGCACAGAAGTTGGGATCGGCAATGTATGCTAAGAACCG